CAATTATAACGTTTATAGAGACGACCGCAATTTTCAATGGTCTGGAAAAAAATCGGGAGGTGGAGTATTAATAGCGATTTCGACCCAATTGAATTCAGAAATTATTATGGCTACTAAATTTAAAGAATTCGACATGTATGGGTAAAAGCGCAAGTAGCAGACGAAACACACGTCTTTGCTTCGGTATACTTTCCTCCAAACAATGCTCATAAGGACACGTATATAAGTTTTTTGGAAAAGCGGAAGAAATTTTGTCTAGTTTACCCCCTGAAGTAAAAGTTCATATATATGGGGACTTTAACCAACGCAATGTTGACTTTATTTCTGATATGGACAATGAAAGCAGTTTACTTCCAGTCGTTGGGGAAAATGAAACACTCCATTTCATTTTTGTCAAAATTGCAAATTTAGGACTCAATCAAATTAACCATGTGAAAAATCAACAAAATTGTTATTTAGACCTTTTATTAACAAATTCTGTGTGACTGAATCGTTATGTCCCATATGGAGAAATGAAATGTTTCACACAACAATAGAATATTCTCTATTCGTTCACATAAATGAAAGAACCAACGACTGCGAATTTGATGAAATCTTTGATTACAATTCAGCAAATTATGATAACATTAGAAATAGATTGAACATTGTCGATTGGCAAGCAATATTAAGAACTGCAGGAAATGTTGAATGTGCAGTTGACGTATTCTACAATGTGTTGCTTGAAATAATTCTTGAAGAAGTGCCAACTAAAAGAAGAAGACGTCAGAGTCATGCAAAACATTCAGTTTGGTACAACAGGGAACTGAAAAATTTAAAAAATCGAAAGCAAAAAGCGCACAAATTTTATAAAAAATATAATAGTGAAGAAACTTTGGCATACTTTTTAGACATTTGCGATCAGTTAAATTTGGCCGTGAATATGGCATTTGAGGAGTATAATTTAAAAACTGAACTTGAAATAAAATCTTGTCCTAGAAACTTCTTCAATTATGTGAAAACCAAATTAAAATCTGATAATTTTCCCTCAAAGATGCATTTGGACGATAGGATAGGTGAGAACTCGGATGATATATGCAATTTGTTTGCAAATTTCTTCCAAGAAATATATACTACGTTTTCAGAAGAGGACCGTGACCGTGAATATTTTGAATCATATTCAGAATTTTCAAGTGACATCAGCGTAAGTCAAATCAAGGTTCATGATATCTTAAAGGGTTTCAACAATTTAGATGCATCTAAAGGTCCTGGCCCTGACGGTGTTCCGCCAGTCTTTACGAAAACTTTAGCAATTGAACTTACTGCTCCATTATTTTGGATTTTTAATAAGTCCCTGGAATCCGGAAACTTCCCCAAAATATGGAAAAACTCGTTTTTAGTGCCTATCTTTAAATCGGGTAAAAAATCCGACCTACGTAATTATCGTGGTATAGCTATTATCTCTTGCATTCCGAAACTTTTCGAGGCGATTGTAAATGAAAAACTCTTTCTTCAAATTAAAAACAGAATAACTACTATGCAGCATGGCTTCTTTAAAGGCCGTTCAACAACTACGAATTTGCTCGAATTAATTAATTATTCCTTGAATGCAGTGTAGTGTTGGAGTGTTGTATACAGATTTCAGCAAAGCGTTTGATCGAATTGACATACCCATGCTTCTTTTTAAACTTCAAAAAATGGGAATTCATTACACACTCCTCAAGTGGCTTGAATCATATTTAACTGACCGTCATCAAATAGTAAAATACAAAGGAAAGATATTAAATCCCGTTGACGTCACTTCAGGAGTTCCTCAAGGCTCCCATTTAGGACCACTTTTATTTATTCTCTTCGTCAATGACATATCTTTCATTATTAAGAAATTGAAAGTTTTAATATATGCTGACGACATTAAACTTTTTTTGGAAATAAAAGATGCCAAAGACATCATCACATTCAAAGAGGAAATTCAAATATTCCATACTTGGTGTCAAAAAAGCCTGCTACAATTAAATAAAAAAAAAATGTAACTCCATTACCATTAGTAGAAAACAAAAGCTACCCGATATAACAGTCACTTTAGGAAACCAGATCGTAGAAAAGTGTGATAGAGTCAGGGATCTAGGTGTTATTTTGGACTCAAAACTTACTTTCACCGATCATTATAACACAATTATTAACAGAGCTAACAACATGCTTGGTTTCATAAAACGTTTCTGCTATAACTTTCACGATCCGTATACGATAAAAACATTGTACATTGCTTATGTAAGATCGATATTAGAATATTGCAGCATAGTTTGGTCACCTTTTTCAATCACACACGAAGAAAGAATAGAATCCGTTCAAAAGCAGTTTCTATTGTATGCACTCCGCAAGTTAGGTTGGACTGTATTTCCTCTGCCATCTTACACAGCTCAGTGTATGCTCATAAATATCCAAACATTAAAAGAACGTCGTGAATTTGCTATGATTTCTTTCGTAAACGATATCGTATCACATCGAATTGATTCAATAGAACTATTGTCATCCTTAAATGTATATACACCATCTAGGCATTTACGAAATAGAAATATATTTGCTACAAATCGTCATCGTACGAATTATGCCAAATTTGGACCCTTGAACCAAATGATGGATACATATAATAAGCACTGCGATAACATTGACTTTACAATGACAAAAACCAAATTAAAGCGATATTTTAATTCCTCGCATAACGTCAACTAGAAGTAATGTTTTAACTTGTTCTTAAGACATATTATAAAAAATATAAACAAAGACAAAATTGAAAAATTGTAAAAATAGCACTTAAGACAACAATTGTAAAACGGTCTACACTGATTGACGACAAATAAATAAATAAATAGATTATTTTGTATAGAGCGTCGTCCAACGGGATACCAATAGAACCCCTCACACCACACTTAAGTCGCTAAAAGCTAAAATCAAGGCAGTGATGACATCTATGGATCGAAACATTTTAAAACGTGCATACTGCAGTTTCCGGAAGCGTCTAACTACAGTCGTCGAAAGGGAAGGCAATTTTTTGAATAAATTTACTTACAACTTCCATATGTTGCGAAAGAAAATAAATCGCACAAAATTCATTGCTAGAATAACTAACTGGTGTATTTTTCTCAAATATGCCATTTACTGCAAAAATTCGTCACGCACCCTGTAGTAACTGGAGCACCTAGGTTAAAATGAAATGTAATTTATTTTGAATTTGGATCAAATAAAGAGTTAAAAACATTGTCAGAAAACAAGATCGCTGTTTTTTCATTGTCAACATTCATCAAATAACTAACCGGTTCATTTTCATTCTCCCTGCCGCCAAGGATCAGCAACCATTCCATTGAGCATTGCTTGCGTCCTGTTATAGGGGTTTGCACTGTCACACATTTGTGCCTTGTAATCAAACCCCTACACATGTTTGTGTGTGTGTGTGTTTTTATGCGACGACTGAATTTGACTTTTGTCTAAACAGCAACAGTGGAGTCGAAGCTGGCTTACGCTGGAAATGAAAAACGTGACGGAATTGTTGGAGCGAATAGACGAAAAATAAATATTAGACAGAGGAAGAATAGCAGCTTGTTGGCCGCTTCCAGAGTGGCTCAGAGAAGATAGGATGAATTTTTTGCTTCGGTTGCTGTTGTTCCTGTCCCAAATAGGGTAGGTGTTCCAGTAATAGTGGTGTACCTATAGTTGCTGTATGGCGGTTGTGCCGGAATAGTGAGGAGGACCCGCATAAGATTATTTTTATCGGTAGCTCTCCTAAAGTAAAGCATATTTGCATATTTCAAACTTAAAATTAGCCTGAAAATTAATTATTAATTTTCCTTAAGATTTTCACTCCTTTGCACCTATAGTTGCGGTAGTGTTCCTTCCTATAATAGTGGAACCTATAAGAAACCAACGCATTCCACTATAATAGGAACCAAAGTCAGCAACTACCACAACTACTGGAACAGTGTTCCTATTAATGGAGGATGCGTTTTCTACAATTTTGTGCAATTTTATTACAGTGTTATATTTTTCTATCAAAATAGAGGTTGAAAGCTATAGATTGACGTGTAACAATTGTGTGTACATCGTATACTTATTGTTTAATTATTAAAATGGCTTAGTACCTCGACTACTGGATCACCCACCCTATGGGAAGTGATATTTATTTTCATATGTAATTTAATCAGATAAAATCAAAATACAACGACAAACAACGAATGTTCAGAGAATGTCTATACCATTCTCAATTCTAGCAACCAGACGTCCCGGAAAATATCAGAAACCTGTGGACTAAAAGTCAGGATTTATCAGGAAAGGCGTTTTGGATGTGAGGAGGGAATTTATGATAAATTGATGATGAATTTTTTAGAAAATCAGGATATTGCAGATGGCGTACGGCAACACAGATCTCACACTCGAGTTGAAAACTGGAACCCTTTGTGCGAACCCATCTGGTTTGATCTCCATAGGCTTTTCCGATTCATCCAACCATGTCCTTCATTCCGACGTCTGACGCTATCCGACCTCCTGGATATAATACACGTTTCTTTTGTTGTTCGAAAAATGTACAAGTGTAGAATATGTGTGGTGATGCTTTCCAAAATATTGCAGACCCATAATAATAACGCATATTACAACAAAACAAGGATGGAAATAAAGAGACGATTATTTTATACTAATTTCAATACCATCTTTACAATTGAAAATATCCATATGTAAATAAATGTGTAATGAACATTACAGCAGAATTAAATTAACATAGAAATACGTGACTGTTTACGAATTAAAATTTAATATGCTCTTACTAGAGGTTTGAAATGCACTTTTGGTCCACGTCACCCCTGGCAACACTGGTGTGTATGTATCCCGTTTGGGTAAAGATCCAGCTATGTCGTGAGACTTGGTACTCTTCACGCTACCTCAAGGTTTCGCCAATGCCCAGGTTTTAACTAACTGAACTAGTTTGTTCAAATACCCGTTTTTCACTTTTCCATCTATTTGTTTGCTATTTTCAGGCTACACCGGCAAAAACTGCCAGTTTGAATCGGACCCCTGTAATCCATCGCAATGTTTGAATGGAGGGACCTGCGTCGGAAACTCGACCCATTTCAGGTAGGGACACAGACTCATCATATCGATTCCATCAATCGAATTGTATCTCTTTCTTGTGCTCCGCACTACGAATAAGCTTTTCACTGAAATTGGAATCGAATCATAAATCCATCTTTTCCAGATGTGACTGCACCTCAGGCTACACCGGACCGCTCTGTCAACATAATCTCAACGAGTGCGAGTCCTCGCCGTGCGTTCACGGTATCTGTGTCGATCAGGAGGATGGATTCCGATGCTTCTGTCAGCCAGGTTAGTTTTATCTTCTTTTCAGCCAAATGGGGAAAACATGATGACGTTAACAAGTCTATTCCTGTTCAATTACTTGAAAATGTGTCCATGCATCCTACAAACCTAATCCGCGGATCCATTAAGTATAGCACCGTTCGGATTCTATCGATGCACTCACTATCCATAACAAAATAATCCAATTTTCTGTAATTTGTTGGAAAATAAATTGTCCCACTTTACGTTGCTTGGGATGAATCGGGCGCTGGCGCTGATCAGCAAGGTTCGTCGTGTCCACGAGTTGCATCTGCCATGGTGAAGCGTTGGACAATCATTGGGTGATGGCTTTCGATCCAAAGTTATTCAAGCGTTGAAATTTATCGAATTTGTGATGCATTAGTGGGCATCATCCAACAACATGCATGCCTAAAATGTGGTCGTTGGTTTAGTTAGATTACTGACTAGATGGACTGCATCTGCAATGTTTTTAGCTATGCTGAACGGGGAGAAACCGTCAGCACTAATGAATCTGGGTGCAATTATGCCTAATGGTGTTTGCACTGAAATAACTGCCCCACTATGCTGTACTTCATTCCGGGAGGTTGTTATACTTAAGTAAACATGTATGTGGGCAGAATGCAAATAAATACCTTCGCTTGCTTTATTCGCAGGATTTTCCGGGGAGCTATGCAACTTTGAGTACAACGAATGTGAGTCGAACCCATGCATCAACGGCGGTCAGTGCATTGACAACATTGGTGGCTTTTCGTGCAAATGTACTCGCGGCTACACTGGAAAACGCTGTCACATCAAGGTAGGAGCAATTACAGTTTCTAAATTGGAGGTGGTTACTGGGTGGATGAAAATTTTCGCACTGCCGGAAAGTACAAATCAATTTATCATGCAGTCAATTTAAAAACCTGGCAAATGTTTATAGGTAGCGGAGATGTACCATATGGAAGGATCTACATATAATTTACCAGTTATGATACATTAGTTTTCAAAATTGATACACCATACTTACCTTTTCCACTTCAGTTTTAATGATATACTGGCTCATATCATGTTATACAGGCTGTCTTGCAATGAGCACTCATACATCTAGTTTTCATTGGAAATCCTATTTAGCCTATTAAGGATAAAAGTTATAGTCTGATCGTACTATTTATAGGATTTTTTTTTTATATTTGACAATTCATACTACGATCAGCACTCAGTGTGGTTGAACGCAAGTATTCTTTTCTCCCGTGTTTTCGCAAGTTTTTTCTCGTGCGTTGTCGAACGTTTTTTCGTTCAACCCAAGCATGGGTAAACCGGGCCCAAGCGGTAGCCAGAAGCAAGGCGGCAAGCGGCCGGCGGATAACAATGTCGATGCCAGACATACGAAGCGGGTGCTAGCCCTCAACCAGTTCTCGCTGCTCCAGGAGGATAATGGCGAAAGGCGTGAAAGCGTTGAGAAAAAGGAGAAGTTGCCTCCTTTCTATGTCAAGGGACAGCCACGCGAGCTGCTTGACAATCTGAATGTGCTAGTCCGTAAAGGGCTACGGGCCGAATTCCGTTTCTGCGCTGATGGCGTGAAAATCACCGTCCTCTCGGCGGATGGATGTTTCGGTTGTGGAAGAAGAGCTGAAACGCAACAACCTTCAACCCGTGAAGGTTTTCGTGATCAAACGCCACAACGAGGCGATCAAGTATCGCGACCAACTGTACCTGGTGTATTTGGTTGGCGGATCCACAAACATGAGGCAGCTTCAAAACATCCGAACGCTGCTCAGTGTCGTCGTCGAGTGGGAGCGGGGCAAGCCGGTCCACCGTGAAGTGACGCAGTGTACCAGCTGCTCGAATTTCGGACATGGCGCGCGCAACTGCCATATGAAATCGCGTTGCTCCAAATGCGGCCAACAACATGTCACTGCCCAATGCATCGTGGACATGAAGGACAAGCAGCCAACCTGTGTCAACTACAGGAATGCCACACATGGACTAGTCGATCGTGTCCCAAGCGGGCCGAATTCATCGCACTGCGGAAGAAAGCAAGCCAGCCGAGACAGCAGAAAAGAAGCAACTACCCGGAATCGATCTGGAAAATGATTTTCCACCGCTTCCTCCAGCAGAAGGACGCGCACCAAACCTTCCTCCCCTTCCGCTGCCCAAAAGGCAGTATAGGAATTCGACGCAAGCTGAGCAAAGCAGCACTCCTCCAGGATTCTGGGGAACCCAACCTGGAGCTGTACCGTTGGTCCCTCCAACCGATGGTCTAACGCAGGTAACCAGTCATCTGACAACGCTTGTCAGTGAAATGCAAAAAATGATGCACTTCATGACGAACTTTCACGTTCACCATCAACGCCCTCAATTGGAACGCCCATTCAGTGGCGATAAAACAGCGACATTGATGTCGCGTTTCTAACCGAGACGGATCTCAAGCCGGAGGTCAACTTTAGCCTGCCAAATCACACAATTCCCAAGTAGCATTTCTTGTTTTATTGCACTCTATTAGTGGTTATTGACATCAATTTTATAAAACCGTCAATAAAATTAATAGCTCCAGCAGAACCTCTTGATAACCGCTATAAGATCGTCTTCCAGCTTAGTGGACCACTCTTGATAAGGTTTATAAAGCATGTTTGAGAATAACAATAAAGCTGTCTTAAAACCTTTTGCAAGAAAGCCTCATACTCCTCAAAAGGTTCTCAAAGTTTCATAGCCTAGTCATTGTATCCAAGCAGTTTTATGACGCTTTGGTAAAAATCAGTTATAAATCCAATTAAATTTTTATTACATTAAAGGAACCGCCATAAATTAGCTTGTTGTTGTTCTGTTCTGCTGAAACTTTTTGTTTTCCATATGGTAATCTTTAGCTGTAAAAATAGGTTTGAGTATTGGTGTCAAGATCACCATGCAATCAATTTTGTTTAATGGCGACATTAGTGAAAATCTTAAAGAAAATATATGACTTTTTAGAAGTTCCAAAACATATGCGCTTGAAATGTTATCGTGTATATTGGGAAAAGAACCGAAACAGAAAGAGAAAACCATATTTTCGACATTTTTTTCTTTAACTCCATATAACTTGGAACCAGTAGACTGTGGAAATTTTACGTCTTCAAAAGAGTTGTTCATTTTGTCAAGATAAACAACTTTACCGAAGACATCAAGTCTCCAAAACGTCAGAGAAAGAAGTTAGATTGTGGCACCATCTTTGCGGAAGAGTTTTGAACTATTTGTTTATGTCAATAGATGGTCCTTATTATGATGGGAAATTTTGCCGAAGACACCAAGTCGCGGAAATGCTTCGTTTCGTAGTTATTACTTTTGCTAGGTTGCATTCCTGGCCCAGTGTGCATAGGATGAAAGCAGAACAGAAAAGCATAATGCATGATTTTATTACGAGAACTATTTTCTTTTTACAAGAGCAATTCAAGCTGAACTTTGCATTGGGTCCTAAGTAACATTGATCGATTCTCTTCGTCGACTTTCTCTTTCGTTAAAAACTTATTCACATAATCGTTTCTTGATGTGTTTGTCGTATTGGATGCTAGATAAAAGCTTCTTTTATCGATTTATGTGCGGAAAATACCTGGGAATGTCTTTACATGACCGTGGGGATGCAAAGAGAAAGTCGACGAAGAGAATCTGTCAATGTTACTTAGGACCTAATGCAATGTTCAGCTTTATTTCATTTTTTTATTTGAGGGCAAATTTATATTCCTATTCTACGGGTGCAACCGATGAATTTTACAAACATTTGGAAAAGTTTTGAATGGTATATTAACCTTTATGAAAAGTTATGCGTGATTTCAACTTTTTTGTCCTAGAACTACCACCATTCCATGGAATTCGACCAATGGACTCGTGAGGAAGCGCACTCTCTACAGCTTGTGACATCCGCAGAAAATGCAGCGGCATTTTATTTCTTGGTTGGAGCTATTCACGAAGGTTTGCGGCTGACTATAGCAAATAAACGGGCTCATGCTAAAAATCTTGTTGATTTTCTTTGCGCTCCGCTTGGAAATACCGCAAAGTTTTGATTCTTTTCTATGTTGTAAAAATAAACCGCCTTTTCACATTTCTGACAAGTTGCAACTGAATGTTTATAATTGTTTTAAAATAACTGTTTCATGCCCAACTAGTTTTATTGCGCTTACTTATAAAGCAACAAAAGGATTTATTTGTGGGTTTTATAAGGGCAATTCATTCTACTTTTTTTATACTTCAAAGCAATCATAAAACCTTTCATAAGTGAAAATAGCATAAGCATCAGTTGGTTTTTTAATTAGCTTTATAGGGGTTTTGTAAATAGCTGTATATGAGCATTGTATATGACCGTCATAAAGCTGTAGGTAATGGTTGCAGCTGCCATAAAACGTTTATAAATTTTGAATATAGCCAAGCAGCTCTAGATTTGTTACTTGGGTTGCAAGACTGGACCGAGTTCGAGCACAGAGGAGTAGTGGCGTTGCCATTGCCATCAGGAGAGGACTGGAGTACAGGATGCTGCCTGACTTCCGTCTATCGTTCGTGGAAGCCATTGGAGTCGAGCATCACACTCATTGCCATCTACTGTCCTGCCCAATGTAAGGAAACGGATGGAACAATCGATCGTTTCAAAAATGACATCCAGAAGTTGACTCTTCGGAAGTGTAAGTTTATCCTCGTCAAACCATCAACCAACGTCAGCAGCATCATAGGCGAAACTATCATCGAGCGAACTGGCCTCAACTCCAGCGGTTTATGGAGGATAGAGTGGTCGAAAATCCTGCGTTAACGACGACGGAAGAAATCGACGGCGTGCTGCAAGCGCTCTCCGATGACATAGGCGAAGCAGGACAACGGTTCATCCCGACAACCCCGGTGACATGTAAGTTTACCAACCTTGATGATGAGACCAAGCGTATAATATCTCTTAGGAATTGTGTTAGGAGGCAGTTCCAAAGAACGCAAAACGTTAGTAGGAAAGTTTTACATAACAAATTAACCAAAATTATTGCCATTAGAAACAGGCAGTTTGCAAAAGACCTTAGTAGTTTACCAAATAACTCTAGGCCCTTCTGGCGTTTAAAAACAAACCAAAGCCCATGCCGCCTCTTAGAGTTGATAATGAGGTTCACATAACACACTTCACACTTGATGAGCTAGTGAACACCATCAAGTCAACGAAGAACATGAAGGCACCGGGTTTCGACGGACTCTTTAACATTGTCCGGAAGAGTTTGGGACCAAAAGCGCATACTCTTCTGATGAACGTCTTCAATCGCTGCCTGGTGCTCGGACACTTCCCAGCTGCCTGGAAACGGTCCAAGGTGGTACCGATACCGAAGCCGGGAATGGATCCTACCAACCCGTCAAGCTACCGTCCGATCAGTTTGCTTTCCTCGCTTAGCAAATTGTTTGAAAAACTCATTTACGCCAGACTTCTCGAGCACACCGAGGCGAACGACATCCTACTGGACGAGCAATTTGGATTCCGACGAGGTCACTCGACGGTGGACCAAATCAAGCGAGTCTCAAACCTCATCAATCAGGCGAAGCCGGTTTTGAAGACAACGGTCATGGCGATACTGGACATCGAAAAAGCATTCGATAACGTGTGGCACGACGGCTTGGTGCACAAGCTTCGGCAATTTTGTTTCCCCATCTACCTGGTGAAGATCATCTCGGACTACCTCGACGGCAGGACGTCTCAAGTATGCGTAGGCAGTGCTCTCTCGGAACCGTATGATGTACCCGCTGGAGTCCCTCAAGGAAGAATCCTGAGACCCATATTTTACAATCTGTACACAGCGGACATACCGACACTGCTGCAAGGTGGAA